TGGAATTCTTTAATATCTTAAGATATTTACTGTTTTATTGTAAATTTGAACATTATGCAGAGTCGACCAATATTTAATAAGAGTACAAGGTTTGAGGATATGAGAAACATTGATGATGACAGGGTTCCCTTTCGAAGACCATCTGTGAAAAAGTACCTTTTTTGACCAGTTTTTACACATTCTGTTGCACAAATCTATTCTTTTGCACATATGCCTGTGGTGATTAGTTTCAGGCTTCTCCTCCTTAGTCTTCTTATTTCTATTTTCATTCTTGTAGGCCTGCAAACAGAGCCTCTGCAATGGAATCTAGAGATGGTGATTTTGATTTAGATATTTCTGGGTAAGATGTTGGAACAGTTTTTATTTGTTAGTCTGTCTTCACCTGGTTCAAAATGTTTTCTGACACCACATACTAATTTAATTGTTGGTTATGAGTTGTAGGGAACGCAAGTCCTCTGGGTTACATGCTTCAAGGCCAGAATCTTCTAGGTTGCATGCTTCGAGGCCAGAAGCAACACCAATGGATTTTGTCGTGCGTCCACAATCTAAGATTGATCCAGAAGAAGTTAGAGCTCGTGCTAAGCAAGTTGTACAAGACCAGCGACGTCTAAAGGTTTGTTTTGTAATAACTGAACTAAAGATTAAGTTGCCTTGTTCTTGTTGCTGTTGATCTATTGTTGGTTCAGAACATATCTTTTAACTGTTGGGCTTTGATATGGTGGTGTGAAATTTTGCTTCCTCACTCATTGATTTTGTATATACTTACATGGAGAGAACACTTGTGTGTTTAAATGAGTGCCTATGTGCATATCTTTTAGTAGTTTTTCTCAGTTTGCTACTAGATTTATCAAATCTTTTGATCAGGCATTAAACTCTATAGTTTGATAGAATCTCTTGGAAGTCGAGCAGTTTCACTCTAAGAACATGATACTTGATGCTAAATAGTGAGGAGTGACATAAATAATCTGCATTTCCTTTTAATTTATTCCATTCCAATATAATATTCTGAATTTTTGCATCTCTGTTTCGATGAAACCAATTGTTAATTGTCAATGGCAGATGGCAAAGAAGTTGCAGCAGTTGAAAGCACCAAAAAAGCGGCAGTTGCAAGCTACAAAAATTAGTGTTGAGGGTCGTGGGATGCTCAAATATCTATAATAAAACTGCCAGCCACAGTTGCAAAGTCGAATGCGCCCTTAATCTATTTCTCCTGCCATTTGGAGGCCACTGAGCTGCAACTGTCTGGCGTGAACACTTTGAAGGGGTGTTCTCCAAATTGCTCTGATGTGATGAAGAAAATGAAATTGTGGAGAAAACTAATTTTTCTCCTTCTATATAAGAAACTTATGTTCTTGAGTTTAATGGTGAGTCGAGAATAAAAGCTGTGGGGGTGTGACTGTTTCTCATGTGATTTATTTTGGTAGAGTATGTTGTTGTCAGTTTTTAATATATTGATTGAAAACTGGCACAACGTTGGTTGACATTTTTACATCAATAAGGCTGACGATATCTTCGCTGAAAATGGTTATCTATTAGAAGTTGTTTTCTCCATTTTCCGTCCAAGAATACATATATATGTAATCAATATTCAACAACGATCATCTTCAGTCCTTTAGAGACGTTATAATGGTTTTAAGAGCCTAAGATTTTGCATTGAAGTTCTCAAGGTGGTTTGGTTTGGGAAGGAGAGGGTTATATTAGTTATTGTATAATTTATAATTTGATATATTAAAAAAATAAAATAAAATAAAATAACAACAATAAGCTTTGGAAAATGAAAAGTGAGTTTTTTTTTTTAGGTCACACAGGAGGCCGAATTCTCTTTTTTTTTTTT